AAAAATGCCACAAAGCAGTGCCCACCAGCAAATTTGATGGAAGTAACTCTTCAAATGAGGTTCCCTCTTCCCAGCTGTGTCAACATAACAACCAATGTTAGCCACCACAGGACTCTCCCACTAAACTATGCCCGTAGCCCCTGCCCAGCTCTCCCTCTCCTTTTCCCTCTCTTCCCTGTCCCTCTCCTCCCTGTCCTTCCTCCCTCTCTATCTCCTCCCTCTCCCTCTCCTCCCTCTCTCCTCTCTCTCCCTCTCCTTCCTCTCCCTTCTCTCTCCCTCTCCTCCCTCTACCTGTCCCTCTCCTCCCTCTCCAGCCTCTCCCTCTCCTCACTCTCCCTCTCCTCTCTCTCCCTCTCCCTCTTGCACATGTTTGCACATGTCCATGCAAGGGCACTCTCCTGTGGGAAAAGGCAGTAGTTGTTATCATAGGGTGTCTTCCTTTATCATTCTCCGTTGTATTTTTTGAGCAGGGTTTCTCACTGAACCTTTGAGCTCACCATATCAGCTAGACTTGCTGGCCATCAAACCACTGGAATTGATCTGTCTCTGTTCCACAGCCAGTACCTCTGTACTCAGCTTATACATGAGTGCTGGGTATCTGAACTCTGGTTCTGATGCTTGCATGGCAAGCACTTTAACCACTGATCTATCTCCCCAGCACCCCGCACCAGATTTTATAGTCCACCTTGCATACTTATCACCCCATATTTTCAATACAACAATTTGTACACTCTTAAATCTCTCCACTAAAATGGGTTTTTCTTTTTTCTTTTTTGTGTTCTGAGAAGTGAACCTAATGCTTTGTATGTGCTAGGCAAGTGCTTTACTATCGAACTATACCCCAGCCCTCAATGGTTTCTTTAGCTTGACACCTTCATTAGCAATCGGGACCTAAGAATATCTGGATCACAGGCTCCAAAGCACTAGTATTAAATCAGATCATTTCATGCGACATGCAGAGCCCAACCATACACAAACAAGCAGTGGACAACATTCATTTGTAACAAATGGTTGTCACTATGGCAAACCGACAGTCATCTTATTCCCTCTTGGGAGCCCTTTTCTCAAGGACAGCCTTAATCAGCTGCTGGGGGAAAAGACTTAAGACTCCTGTTCTAGTTTGTCTCTCCATTGCTATGACAAAATACTCTGACCAATACCAATTTGGAGAGGAAAGGGTTTATTTGGCTCACATCTCCTGGGTCACAGTTCATCAGGGAGCCCAAGGTAGGAACTCAGGGCAGGAACCTGGAGGCAGGAGCTGGAGCACAGGCCATGGAGGAACACTGCTTACTGGCTTGCTCCCCTGACCCCTACTCAGCCTGCTTTCTTATGCAACTCAGGCCCACCTGTCCAGGGGTGGCACCACCCACAATGGGCTGGATCTTCCCACAGCACTCAGCAATCAAGAAGGTGCCCCACAGACATGGTCACAGGCCAGTCCAATGGAGGAAATTCCCCAATTGAGGCGCCCTCAACCCAGGTGTGTCAAGTTGACACTAAAACTTTCCAGCACAAGCCCATATGAAAACTTCATCTTCATTCCTCCTTTTCTGCTTCTATGCCCTCAAAATTTCCTTCCTTTACCCTTTCACTCACTAAGTTCTAACCAAATGTAAATTTATATTGGTCTGGGACTTTTCAGAGACAATTATATCATCTATATGCAAAACCAGAAAGTAAGGTTTCTCACTCCGAGAAGCTGCACTTGGAAATGAGAGGCAAGGAACCTGATTAGCAAGGGGTACTCTCGGGCATTACCCAAAATTAGGAAAAGGTAGTCTTTTCACTTGGAGTCAAAATTCTCTGTTGAAATTCCCCTTAAGTATATCCCTGAGCTTGCTGACTTTATGATCCTATTTGGTACTATTAGCAGGCTTTAAATGAATACCTCTAGCAAGCATTCAGAATAACAGAATTTGGATTTAAAGAATGAAAGTGGATGTAGCAGGATAATACTTAGCCCAGAAAAGCAGAAGCTTCTATACTTAAATTCTTATTAAAATGATTTAGAAAACAGTGTGAACAGCTATCCAGTTGACTGGGGCCTTAGCTGACCATGATCTAAACAGGATTCATTTCTGTGCTTTGGTATTAAATTCTACTACAAACTCAAGATGCATCTAAAGATGTTTAGTGCCTATTCTGGAATGAAGAGGGTGGTAAGACCACTCTACTTATCATTAGGCAGTATATGCAGTAATTTGTGGACAGTTACAAATTCAAGGGATATGGCATCTCTCACCCCGTTGATTGCCAGGTTTGATTCAGCTGATGTGACTGGCTAGGTTAGATGTCCCCTTCCTCCCTCACCACTCCACAAGGGTCCCTCCTGAAGCTGGGCACTCAGTGGAAGAGTGTGACCTTCACTAATAGAGAAGCACTGTTCATACTCAAGGGTATATGAGTAGCTGTCTCCTCTGCTAGAACCACTAAGCAAACTCACAAATTCAGTAACATGTAGAACAGTGAGTACTCATGAAAATACATGTCTCTTCAAAAATAGAAGAAATAATTAATTTGGAAAATAAACCCATTCAAAATGAGGCCTTGGAAGGATAATAATCGTTTAAGGGTCACATGAAGTAGTATATCAAAGATAGGTCAGTTCATATTGTTACTCAACTGGCATCTATTCACTTGTGTCTAGAAAGGGGGCCACATGAATCATGGACAAGTTGTTGGGGCAGGGAAAAATATGTATTTGTAATACTAGCATAATGAGAGGAGGCCAGCATTTTCAAGGGGGAAATGTTCCTACCTCTTTTCATCCTCAGGAAGAGGGAATAAATGACTGGAGATTGTAAGGCACCACTCTAATGGTCTGAAATGGGGTGTCATGAAATCTGGCTGTTGGCATATACATAAGCACAGAATTATGATGCTTCTGTGAACCTTGAAAATGTTTTTGTTGCCTTCATCTTGTCATCTTCTACCTAAGAAGGAGTAAAAACGAGATCAAGGAAGTTTTGATGCACTTCTAACATGACTATGTCAATAATTGAGTAGAAATCCAACCCAAAAGTTAAGCAAGCAGAGAGACAGATACAACATGAGGACAGAAATTGAAATAATTTTTACCATGTTTTGGTGAAGAATCAGTGCTTTCAGCAGAAGTGGCCTTTATGTCCCTGAAAAGTAACTTAAGCATTAGCTATTATTGTAACCCACACGTCAGAGGTGTTATCTACAGCAAAGCTAGTGTGGGACTAAGATATTATTCAGCAGTGTGACCTTCAAATGTAGTGAATTTTAAAGTCAACTAAAAGCAAACGAAGCTAGATAGTTTATTTAGGTTTTCAACCACAGGCACCAAGAGGTGGCTATTAAGAATTTAGATTTTTTGGGGGGTCTGGAGAAATGGCTCAGTGGTTAAGAGCACTAACTGCTCTTGCAGAGGACATGGGCTCAATTCCCAGCATCACATGGCACCTAACAACTGTCCTTAACTTCAGTTCCAGGGGATCTTACGCTTCTTCTGACCTCCCTGGGCATTGCATGACATGGGTGCACTTACACACATGCAGGCAATACACTCAAACACATAAAATAAAAATAAATAAAATTTTTTAAATTAAAAAAAAAAGAATTTGGGGCGGAAGAGGTGGCTCAGCAGTTAAGAACACTGGGAAAAAAAGGGTATCTGCATGCGAAAGTAACATTCATGCTTTTTGCAGAGGTGAGAAGTACACATGAAGTTGAAGATCATATAACAGTTACAACCCAAAAGCACATAGCATTTGCAATGACAACTACATATGTATGCATGGTTTTAGTCCTGCTGCTCAGTATATGGTCAACAGAACTACGTAGTCTAATACTAATGTCCTCTCTACTAAATCTATCTTTGGGGGCTCAGCTGTCTTAATACCCAAATATTAGTTGAGTTAATGAATTAATATAAGCTTTTCAACCACAAGTATCAAGAGGTGTCCATTAATAATTTAGAGTTCTTGTGAAATCTATTTCTCTTATGAATGATGACTATTGAATTATATATATACATATATATGAAGAGAGAGAGAAATACAGTGTCATTCTGTGAACCAAGAATTCTCCCACTTCACATAATAAAAGATATTTTGTAGACTATTTCATAGGTAGATGGAAAAATATCTATTTTTATTTATGAAAATCAAAGTATTGAGTCTTTAGAGTTATATAGCTTACAGACTTAACTCTTTAAATATTTTATTTATTTTATGTGTATTATTATATATGTGCCTGCATGTATGTAAATACATCTGTGTTGTGCAATACCTGTGGAGTTCAGAAGACAGCATCAGATCCCTTGGAACTGGAGTTATGAATGGTTGTTAGCCACCATGTGGGTGCTGGGAACCAAACTCAGGTCCTCTTCAAGAGAATCTGGTGCCAGTCCCAGACATAAGTCTTTCTGGAGGTCTAAAACAGAAAAGTTATTAACTTACCCCAGTTTCTATTTGTAATATAGTTACGGTGATTCAAAATCAAAACAAAAAGGCTGTCAAGAATGTCTCCAGTGAAAATGACAAGAAATAAAAACATGATGTGATTGGGCTATGTTTGTGGATTAAGAATAAATATTTGCAATTGAGGGTGGTTGTTTTTGTTTGTTTGTTTGTTTGCCATTTAATTTTTTGAGACAGTCTTGCTATGTAGCTCTGTCTGGCCTAGAACTAGCTATGGAGAACAGGCTGCCCTCCAATTTGCGGCAATTTTCCTGCCTCTGTCCTCTGAGTGCTGGGATTACAGGCATGTATCATTGTGCCTAGCTTTAGCATGTCATATTGGTTTGTGATGGTGAAAAGTGAAATTTCAGTGCAGGATCTGAAGGACAGAGGAAACCACAGACATCTGTGACTGAAGGAGAGTGGGAGGTGAGCAGTATTGTCGGAGAAGCAACAGAGGAGGTACTAACCCTGAGGAATCAGCTGCTAATCATCTCTGGTAATTAAGAAAAAGCAAATAGAAACAAAGAGAGGTGAGTGACAAAGCCTGGTGTGTCTGAGATCAGGAGATTCTGGCAAGTGCTGGCAAATGGTCGCCAAAGTGGTAACTAGGGATCTGAGCTCGGCAGTGACGCGCGCCCCTCACGTGACCAGGAGCCTATGTCTGCCCAAGTCCCCGCCGTCCTGGTCCTTTTTGCCTGTTCAGACACGGTCTTCATATTACCCGGTGGTCGAGAAGGAAAGCAGAAGTAAGTTCGTTCCCTGGACCCTCTGAAATTGGGGCTTGTCAGAGCTGCCTTGTAGTCCCTAGGATCAGACCCTGATGGCAGAAACCAGGTCTTTCAGTAGGCTCCCAACCCCGCTTCTAGCCCACAATTTCGGGGTACAAAATGGTGCTCTTGGGACTGGGGTGGGGGCACAAGGACGAAACTTGATGTGGGGTCTGAGGAGGGAGGTGAACCCCAAGGGGGGCTGTCTTTGGGGAGGTCGCTGGTGCCCACTGAAAGGGGTGTGCGTCACTGAGTCCATCCCTCCTCCCCTATCCCCGCCCCCTACCCCGTCTGGCCGGTCTGTACATGTGCACGTCCCACCCCGGCGCCTCAAAGAGGGGCAGACTAGGTGCACACCGACCGCAGAGGTTGGGAAAGGGTGGGCAGTGGGACAGGATTAGGGTGTGAGAGTGAATATCGAGGGGACAAGTCTGCGGACTCCACTGCTCCGCCCCTGTCACTGCGGGAGAAGCCTGTGGCAAGGCTTGCTGGGAAAAATGGTGGTCTTTCGGGAAGAAGCGGGGGGGGGG